CAGGCTGCACACTCGTGCCAGTACTCAGCTGAGCTGAGGCCCACACGCTGCATGTGTCGTGGGCACGCGTGCTCACTGCGCCCACCCGCGGCATCTGAGGCGCTAGGCGGCCCCTGAGCACCCTGCCTGGGGGCTCTTCCTGCAGGGAGTGTGGACGGCATCCTGCGCACCTTTGACCTCTTCATGGCCTACAGCCCTGGCTACTTTGTGGTGGACATTGTGGCCCGGGACCTAGCAGGCCACAACGACACGGCCATCATCGGCATCTATATCCTGAGGGACGACCAGCGCGTCAAGATCGTCATTAATGAGATTCCTGACCGCGTGCGTGGCTTCGAGGAGGAGTTCATCCGCCTGCTGTCTAACATCACTGGTGCCATCGTCAACACCGATGATGTGCAGGTGCCCTACGTAACCCGCCCTGTGGTGAGGGACGATGGCGGGAGAAGGGAGACGGGGCAGGCACTGCAGCGGGAGCAGGCCTACCTGCCCTCAGGCATCCTAGCTGCCGTGGCTGGAGAAGACCTTCTAGGTCTCCTGGCCTTCGTTTCCTTCTCTGTAAAGTGGGATAACAATAGTTGCAGGTTCGGGGCTGATGAAGCAGTGAGCATTTGGTAGTGATTTTCCTAGGAGGGGAGGGCAGGAGGGGCTTCTAGAAAAGGCCTGCCCTTGCTCCTGTCCACTCCTCATGATGCCCCTTCTCTCCCAGTTCCATGTGGACAAGAAGGGTCGGGTGAACTTCGCACAGACGGAGCTGCTCATCCACGTGGTGAACCGCGATACCAACCGCATCCTGGATGTGGACCGGTATGTGGAGGCCTATACTGAGACTGTGTTCTCTGCCTCCCTGCCCCAGTGTCTGGGAGGGCACCCACCAATGGAGGCATAGACAACACCATCAGGGTGGCGCATCCTCCAGGGAGAACAGATGGGGGCAGGAGCAGAGTTCCAACCTCTGAGCCTTACTCTCCTGTCTGGAGCGTGGGACTATTACACTGCAAGCATCAGATGGGATCCTGTATGAAGGGAATGATGAGCCCTATATGTGCTCCCCCAGCTAGGTAGACTTCAAGGTTTGTTGTGGGGGCAAAATTTAGGGGGCTGAGGCAGGAATTGGGCACTGTCCTGAGCGGAGTGCGCTCTTAGAATGGCTGAGGACGGGAGCTCTGGCCCTGCTCCTCCCCTCGCCAGGGTGATCCAGATGATCGACGAGAACAAGGAACAGCTGCGGAATCTTTTCCGGAACTACAATGTCCTGGACGTGCAGCCTGCCATCTCTGTCCGGCTGCCCGATGACATGTCTGCCCTGCAGGTACCCCTGGTGGCACCCCCTCCTGCAGCCCCCTTCCTGCCCCAGGCACCATGCCTGCTCATGCCCGACCCTGCTCCCCCAGATGGCGATCATTGTCTTGGCCATTCTCCTCTTCCTGGCCGCCATGCTCTTCATCCTCATGAACTGGTACTACAGGACTGTGTGAGTGACCTCTACCCACCCTACCCTGAGATAAGCCAACCATCCTGTTGCTGGGACAGACACAGTGGCAAGCAGGGCCTGTGGGTCCTGAGGTGCCAGCCCGGTCCCAGCCTCCCTCACCAGCCCCTCTCTTCTCTCCAGACACAAGAGGAAGCTCAAAGCCATTGTGGCTGGCTCGGCAGGTAAGCAAGAGCAGTGTTGATTCTGGAAGGTGGGGGGGTGGGGGCGGTGAGGTCTGGGGGCCTAAAAGGCCTGCCCAAGCTTCACAAGGTTGGCTGGGGCTGTGGGCTGACTCCCCAACTGCAGCAAAGTAAACCCCTGCCCTCCACATGCCAACCCTTCTCCCCGCAGGGAATCGAGGTTTCATCGACATCATGGACATGCCCAACACCAATAAGTATTCCTTTGATGGGTGAGTGGAGTCTGGCCTGCCAAGGACTGCAGAGAGGAGGTCCTTTCCAATGCTGAGGGAGAAATCTGCCTGAAACTTGGGGTGTGAGCGCCCCCTGGTGGGCTGGTCTGAAACTGCCCTGAGCAGGGTTCACACCTGATGGGGACATAAGACTCTGGACCTTAGATACAGAGTACAGAGTAAGGTTTCTACCCCAAAGCTGACCTGGATTGACATGTCCTGGTTCTAACACGACCCTAAGGGAGGCGGGAGCACCCACGGGCGCCATGGCCAAGAGGCCAGATTCTCATGGTCTTGGATCCCCAGCGATATGATTGCCAGAGAAATGAGCAGGAAGAGTTATCCACCATTCAAGCCATCCTGCCTTACTCTACCCCATTCCCACCCACAGTGCCAACCCCGTGTGGCTGGACCCTTTCTGCCGGAACCTGGAGCTGGCAGCCCAGGCAGAGCACGAGGACGACCTGCCGGAGAACCTGAGTGAGATTGCCGACCTGTGGAACAGCCCCACCCGAACCCACGTGAGCCTGGGGCAGGGAGTGGACAGTCACATGGTTAGGAGGGTGGGGTGGGTCGGGTCTTCACCACTGTTAGCCGCAGAGCTGCATTCTCCAGAAAATGACCCCTACCTGTGTGTGCACCTGTTGTCTACCTCTGTCCAATTAATGCCCCCTCTTTCCAGGGAACTTTTGGGCGTGAGCCAGCAGCAGTCAAGCCTGATGATGACCGGTACTTGCGGGCGGCCATCCAGGAGTACGACAATATTGCCAAGCTGGGCCAAATCATTCGGGAAGGACCCATCAAGGTGAGCCCTACCTGGAGGATTCCAACACACACACCCCTCTGATCTTGTACCCCACTCCAAAGGATGCAAGAAGGGAGGGTCCTGGAAAACAGCTTTCTCCGCCAGGACAGCTAGACCTGCCCTCCACTGTGGCAAGACCACTCACTACAGCAGAAAGAGGGGCCTGGGCATAGGAACTATGGTGACCTCCAGGCTGGGCTCCTCTGAGACTCTGGCTTGCCACTGCCAACAGGCTCTGCCCCGATCCTTCAAGATCGGAAGCCTGTGTGTCCTATGTCCCAGTTACCTTCCATCACTGCCCAGGGGAGGAAGGATGGGGGGTCCTAGGTGAGGGGTTAACCCTCTCCGCTCTACCAGGGTTCGCTGCTGAAAGTGGTCTTGGAGGATTACCTGCGGCTCAAAAAGCTCTTTGCACAACGGATGGTGCAAAAAGCCTCCTCCTGCCACTCCTCCATCTCAGAGGTAGCCGGGTTGGCCAGGGAGCTGTGTGCTGTGCCCCAGCCCTGGGGGTGCTCCCTCTTCCTCACTTTCCTGTCGCCCCTGCCCTCAGTGTCTCTGAAGCTCAGCAGCCAGGGTCACAGCAATGGGTGGAGGGTTGCCAGAAGGTACACTGCGTTCTGGGCTCTGCTGTGGGTTTTCCAGAAGGTGTGGACTGTAGGGTAGTGTTTCTCAGATTCAAGAAGCCCAAATTTGTCTACAGTGATTGTATCAACCCTTTAAAACGTCAGACTTTACCTAAGAACCCAGATTTCTAGCTGAGCCCACACTGCCAACTCTGTTCACCCAAGATCCACCTGTGACTCTGCTTTGCCTGCAGCACTGACTGCCTGGTTATAAGTAAAGTGGACCCTGCCAACTTGAGGACAAGTTGGTAACAAGTCCAGATTCCATCACAGGGAATACACAAAATGAGAAACATTCTCGTAGGGAAGAAACAAGCTGGGCTATCACCTGCTAACCCCTAGGGCATGGCCCTGGCTTCTTGCAGCTGATCCAGACTGAGCTGGAGGAGGAGCCGGGGGAGCGCAGCCCAGGCCAGGGCAGCCTGCACTTCCACCACAAGCTGCCGACGGAGCTCAAGGGGCCGGACGGGATCCACGTGGTGCACGGCAGCACGGGCACGCTGCTGGCCACTGACCTCAACAGCTTACCCGAGGACGACCAGAAGGCCCTGGGCCGCTCCCTGGAGACACTGACTGCAGCAGAGGCCAGCGCCTTCGAGCGCAACGCCCGCACAGAATCCGCCAAATCCACGCCCCTGCACAAGCTCAGAGATGTGATCATGGAGAGCCCGCTGGAGATCACGGAGCTATGACCAGATGGGAGCCTCAAGACGAGTGAGAGCCTGTCCCCCGCCCCCTCCCAGGGCAAGAACAGGGGCAGGGGCAGGGCCTCAGGGTGTGGTCTCCGCCGCAGGACAGCTTTGGTTGCAACACCTTAGCCTGGCCTGAGGCCCACATCAGCTGCACAGATCCACTTCGCCAGACGCTCATTCAGCATCTGATCTCTACCTTCATAAAATTTGTTATTTTTTTAAAAAAAAAAAAAAGTTAAGTGTCTAAGGACAAGGTAAGAAGGGTCACCTGGGACCGTAGTCTGAGGACCAGCTCAGGCCAGGCTGAGGTGAAAGAGGCCAAGCAAGACCTCTTCCCCTCCCAACCCCACCCTTCCCCTAAGTAGCACAGAAGTCCAACTCACCATCGGAGAGGTGCCAAGAGCCGGCACCCTGCCTGGCCTCCACACGACTTCAGTTCGAGTCCCACTGCGTTTCTGCCACCACCCTGGCTGGACATCCAGGTAGGGCAGCGAGTGATCCCTACCTCCCCACATGAACATGGTCAATGTCAGCAAACAGCATTTTCTCCATTTCACTGGCTCCCCAAATGTGCCCAGCTCCTCCAGAGAAATGACCGATGTACCCTTGGGTTTGGAATGTAGAGTGTTGGTGTACGTTCCTTTTTTTTTTTTTTAAATTAAGCTGTTCCCACAATGCTTTCCCCTTGGTTTTGTCTACCCGGTACTCACCAAATGTTTCTGGAATGGTCTGAAATTTTAAAAAGAAAAGCTAATTCACAAGGAACCGGCACACACTCTGGCTCTGGTAAACTACTCGTGTGGCTGGGGTAGGGGGGTGGCGTGGGAGGGCAGAGCTGGCGCCACCCTGCTGGCCCTGGCTCCCTTAGGCAGAACCAGGTGGGTTATTTACCCACTTTCTTGTAGCCATGGAACGTCTGGGCACTTAGGATCCACGGCCTTGAAGCTCATCAGAAAACAAATCCTTCTGTTTGAGGTAACTACAAAGGCACAGGTCTGGTTAACACAACTTTATTGTGAAATCACAAAACAAAATTAAGTCCATTTGATAGCAACTGCACATCTTACTGGCTTTGTTTGCTGTCTCCTGGCAACCAGAAGAGACGCAGCAGCCAGGGCCCCTGACAGTGGACCCTCCACCAGGAAGCCAGAGGCTCAGGAGCTTCACCCGCACTTTGAAAGGCAAAAGCGCATCTACAGAGGGGCGGAGCGACAGTGGGCAGGAGCACAAAGCAGAGCCACAAGAGCAAGCACTAGGTGGTCACCACTGTCTACATACGAACACACAAAGCCAGGGCCTCCACACACAGCTAGCAGGTTACAATCCGGTAGCTTCCCCCTCCCGCAGAACCCCAAACAAGGCATCACCAAGGGAAGAGGCAGGAAAGAGCAGGCCCAGGACCACAGTGCTAAGCCTGCCCCGGTCTGCTGAGCAGCCGCTTCCAAGACCTCTATTACAATGGGAACTATATTGTTTAAAACTCCACTTTGAGTTTCTGGTCTTGTATATAAAACCACCTTTGTTTTGCTTCTTTGTATAGCGACCACCACGCCAAGGGCTCTCCTTAGCAGAGGCCTCAGGCCCCAGCAAAAATGGAAACTTTCTGTCAAGAAGCTCTGGCTCGTGCCAACAACCGGAGCCCACTCTCCAGGTAGCCACCATGCTAGAGCAGGCTGAAAGACCTCAGTATGTCGCCATCCAGCTAGCAGAGAGAAAAGGGGACACTGAAGCAGCTATGTCAGTGGCAGGTCAGGTGCCCACACTGACGGCAATGCTACAATAAGGGAGCTGAGAATGAAGGTAAGGGGGTCCTAGTTTTTAACAGTCAATGGATCTGTGTGACTGTTCCCTTAGACACACAAGTAGGAAAAGGTGCTGGAGGTTCTCCCAGATGGAACATTCCTTCTAGTTCCACACATGACGTTTGCAATGCTCGACAGCCTGGCAAGAGAGAGAAAAACCAGGCTTAGTCATCAGATATCACCCAAAATGGGATCCATTTATCTTGATGGCACTAGAAGCTGAAGACCCAACCTGATTAAAAACAGGACAGCAGGTGGCCATCAGTTTGGGGGACTCAGTGAGAGTTCAGAGCAGCAGCTGCAAAGCCTTTTTTAGTAGCTTACAGGTAAGCACCCATTCATGTAGGGCCCAGAACCCCAGCAATTAAGCCTCATATGGCAAAAAATTTCTTTACACACCAACTTGGGCTTGAGAATTTCCCCAGCTGGGAGGAGGAACCAATTTTATCACCCAGTGGTGTGGGTGCTTTACTACTCCTCAGTGACCCTCCCCAGTACCAACAGGCCCTGCTGGTCATGAGGAAGAAAAGGTTGTACTCAGGAACATTCCCAAATCCTTCCAGGAAAGCAAAAAGGGTCACCCAACAGTGAATACCCAGTCAGAATAGTGCCATATTACGCATGGGGTGAGGATTCTGGCTGGGGCCCAGCCAGGGCAAAAGAACTTGAGCTTGAGCAAGAACTGGGCTGAGGCATCTTGTGCAAGCCCTGGGTGACCTTATTCAAAACTGACCCTGTAAGGGAAATGAAACGAGAACAGCCTTCAAGATTCCACAAGTAGACCCAATTGTCTCTCAGGTCTCCCCCGACGTAGTGGAGCAAGCAGACCACTTGAGGCACCTGTTAAGGCAGGAGTCTCCGTGCGCGGTGAGCTACTCACATTGCACTGGGTGGCTGACTCCATGTTCTGGCACCAGTAGCTTGGACCCCAGACACACTTCTCAGTTCCCAAGAGAGGCCTTTGAGCGGTGGGACAGGCTCCAATTACCTATTTGGTGAAAAGGGTTGGGTGAGGGCATTAGATGGGCTCAATGTATTAACTTTTCCCCAAAGCCAAAAAAAAAGTCTGAGAGACTGTTCCAGGACCCACCACCCAAAAATCTACCAGACATAGCTTACCAGGCACACGTAAGACGGGTCCATCACCTCCACCAGGACTTCGATCAGCACAGGCTCGTACTCGGCCACAAACTGATCACACTGTTAAGAAAAAGGGTTGGGGGGGGGGGGGTGGCGCCACTGGATATGAGCCTCATGCAGTGGCCACTCTCCCCAACACCTCCAAATCAGTTTATCTCCCCCAGTGACTCCACTCAGTTCTAAGGCCGGGAGGCAGAAATAACTGACTTTCCCTCAACATGTCAACTGAGGGTACAACACAAGCAGCCTGTGCTGTGGCCAAGAGGGTTCTGACACTGGCCCAGAGGCCTACCTGCTTCTGGTACGGGTCAGGAAGGAAGCTGCAGCCTTTCTCCAGAGCATCCAGGATCTGCTGTTTTGTGCTGTTTTTTTCTAGGTTGTGCTCCAAATAGCCTACCAGCTTCTTACACACCTCACAGAAGCCACCATTCTTCTTCTTTTGGGTCACTCGTGCTACAATGAGACAGCAAGCACCCGCTTAGCACCCTTCCAAATCCAAAAGGTGCCTGCCACCCCCATCTGGCCCTGGGCTCACCAGTCAGTGGGGGCAGCTCCCGGGAGGGGCAGACATGGAGAAGGCTACAAACCACCGTAGCCTCTGTCTCCAGCATCTTCAGGATAGACGTGCCGTAAGTGTCTACCACCTCCTGGCACTCCTCAGATACGGATATGGGCAATTTTGAGCACAGTTTATGCAAAGTGTTAAGGAGCTCTTCCTGAAACACAAGAGAATCCCATGAGAAGACAGGAGGCTGGACAGGGGTGAGAAGAGTCCAGTTGCCAGTCAGCAAGATGGTGTTTCTCCCCTAAAAGACAAGGACTACAAAGCAAGGTGTGTGACCACCCCCAACCAGGGAGCTCCACTGGTACAAAATGCCTTATAAAGAAAGACATGGCAATTCGGGGTCCAGGTGCATGTCCCACATCACTAAGGGCCGAGCCCACTTGAGCTGGTTTTGGGTTCATGGGACAGGAGAGCCCCCGCTCTGAGGAGGGCAGCATTCCCCAAAAGCCACATACCTCAGTCTTATTGTTGTCGATCTGCTTGACCACCTCCTTCACCAAGTACTCACACATCTCACACTTAACATCTGACTTTGACTGGACCAGGTCGTTCTGTTAAAGAGGTAGATGAACACTTTAATGTGGGGCCCTGTCCAGCTCCTCTAAGGAGGCCAGGCAGCTTCATAGCACATGGAAGACCGCTTCCTCTCCAAGAAAGCTCAAGTCCATTTTTGTTTTGTTTTTACAGGGGGAGACCCTTTCGTTTCCCCAAATCTATACTACCACACTCCCTCCAGAAATTCATACTTCAGGAGATGGGAGCAGTGAAAGAGTCCCCTGACTCAAAACAAAAAATGCCCAGGTGCTGTTTACATCACCATTCAGTATTAATTTTAGGGAGGTGGATGAGGGAGTGAACTGGAAATTCGCTACCTGTCTACATGTTTAAACACAAGTCAGGTCTGCTCTGCAGTTTGAAGTCTCAGCACCTCAGACTGCTTCTCTAGAGCCTACATCTACTAAGGTGATCCCCACTGAAAAGAACTTTCTGTAAATAGTACATATCTGGTGTCCACCATAATGCCGACAGCCGCATGTAATGGCCATGGTGTAGCTACAGCACAAGCTATACAAGAGCTCCATTTGTACTGCCCCTTCATTCAGTCAGCAGGGTAGGCTGGGCTAACAAGCATTTCCACTGGAGATGGAGGGGATGGCAGAGAGCAGCGTCTGACCCTTCCTGTGTGGAGCTAGTAGTACATGCGTGTGTGTCATGTCATAAGACATCACCCTTAAGAACAAGACTGAAAGCCCCATGAATACAAAGATTTTGTTCACCACTGCAGGCGAACTGCCTTAGGCCTAAAACACTGTCTGACCAATAAGAAGTGTTGACTATGCACTGGAAGGAGCATATTGACCAAATCAAGCCAGCTGGGATACAAAACAATCATCGGTGTGCACACAGGTTGCGTACCCACAGAGGCTTCAAGTTTATGCCATGGCTACAAATGCAGGGAATGCGCAGTGGGGAAAGGTTAAGCTGGAGCCAGACACAAGGAAGATTCTGAATAGACTACAAAGTGCAAGCTGGATCCTTTGAGCACTGACATTTCTAACCAAGGAAACAAAGTGCTGGGAGAAGAAAACTCCATTAGTAAACATGGGATCCCACCAAACAATGGTCTCAAACTCAAGTGCCTTTAGGAGCTGAGTGGGGAACCCAGAGTGTGCGCCTCAAAAGATCTGACACAGCAAATTCACAACAATGACATCAGGTACCTTAATCGGCTCCACCAGTTCCAGGGCAGGGATGACATTCCCCGAGGCCACTTTGGCAGGGATCAGAGTCTGCATGGGCATCTTCTTCACCTCATCACAGAACCCAGCCAACGCACAAATGTCCTTGGGTTGCTGAAGAGAGAAAAAACAGTCAGATGCAGCCCTTGGCCTCCACTGCCTGGTCCCACTCTGTACATACAGGTGCTGGGGGGACACCTTGATCCCAGTGTCAAAACTGACTGCCCTGAGACAGGCAAAGGCTCCCTGTGGAATCTGAAGGACCTGTGCGCTACTACAGAGCAGATGTACCACTACACACAGCTCTGAAAGGAAAGCAGGGACCAGCGCTCTGCCTGGCACCTGAACAGGCACCAAACCTCTCCAAGGACACCTGGCCTGCTCCAGAGCCTGTTTTTCAGGTGGTCTGGTTCACTCTGGAAGTAAACCATATGCTGTTTCTAGGGGAGGAATTATAAACAGAAAGCCAAATGGATTAGAAATAAAACCACACAGGGTCTTTCACTGGCAGGACCATTTAAAATGCTGCACTAAGGAGAAACGCTAGCTTTAGAAAGCCAAAGTCTGTGTTCACAATTATGCAAACACGGTACACACGAAAACCCAATGCCCCAAACTGATGAGTTATTTCAAGTAACAAGGCCTTTCAGATTGCGCCCCTTGCCCATCTAGACACCAAACCACGGAGAAGCAGCTCATTTGGACAACAGGAGCGAGGAAGTATACCTATTCTGTACACTTGGTGGACCAGATGGCCTGGCTCTGGCCTGGTGGCATTTGCCTCCCACCACCAAGCAGCGTGAATAGGACTACTAAAAAATGAGACCTGGTAAGGGAAGAAGAAGAGGCTAGGCCATGGCAGAGGCTCATCTTGTTTTAAGATCAAGAAGGCACTAGAATTAAACAAGGCTAGGAGTTTAAATGCAGTCTATCCCAAGAATCCTGTCTTTGGCACAATTTAAAAATAGAGGGTAACATCAGAATGGGGCTGACGACACACAACACACATTTTAGAAAAAGACAAAGACTGAAGAGGTGTGTGGTTGTTTATAGCCTTAGATCAATTTTGTTCTAACTCCCTGAGGAAGCCTAGATCCAAATTCAGGTATTTCAGCCAAAGTTCTGTCCCTGTAGACTTCAAAATACAATTGAAAAGTCTTTAACTCTATTTCCAGAAATAAATGCCAGGGCTCAGAAGGGTAAGGCAATGCTCAGTACAGTCCCCAAGGGGCACTGGCTCTGCCAGTAGGGTCTGGGCTTGTTCCCCTGTTCCGCCATTACCGTGGCTCTCAAGCCATCTGATGTGGCTGCAGGACCCCATCACCCAGAAGGGCAAAAGCCACAATCAAGAGATTGTTTCCAACTCTCTGGATTGAACAGTCTGCTCACTGTTTGCAAATGGTTTGTTCATGCAGCAAAAGCATTTCTGGGATTATGAAAACCAGAATGTTCTCTCAGGTCATAAAAGACAAGGGCTCCCAATGGCAATCAGGCCTACAAAGGAGGCCATCACCAGGGTCACCCACGGTTCCCCATCATCAACTGGTGACCTGCACATGGCAGGCTGTGTGCTGATTTTGACCAGAGTGCAAGGTTCTACTGGTGCCATTTCCTGGGCCCTCTTTAGGTGCTGAATCACTGGGTTAAGATGCAGAAGCACCCGTGCAACCCATTAACAGATCCTGCCTTTCTCAGTCATCCCTCATAGCTGGCAGAGCTGACCATGCCATCCAAAAAAGATGAGCAAAATAACCATAAGAAGCAGCAGACCACTACCACAAGCAAATTTCCCCATCACATACCTGATCCTGCTGTTGAACAAAAAACAGGAAGTCGGAGATTAAAATAAGAGAAAGGAAAGGACACAACAGTTAAGAAAAAATTAAAATAATATCAAGCAGTTAACCAGGTATAAGGATGTCACAAAGTTTAGGAAACACCTACGCAGTTACGTATCAACAACCTACCTTGTTCATACAACTGGAGCATAAGGGGGCCCTGGAAGCTATTCTCGCCCTCTAGGAACAGACACACCGTCCAGCTTGTGTGCACACCATCCCCACCCTCACCATTCATGCTAAAGTCTGCGCAGCAGGTACCCAGAGACCACCAAGCTATGAAGAGCAGCCCCTCCTCAGAGCCTTCCCCCACATCTGCAAGGCCTTCCCCTCAGCTTAGTGATAAGCAGCAAAACGAAGATGACACGGGCACCCAAATATGGGGTACCAGAGGGGTGAGGGATCCCAAAGCACACTCTCCACTGCCCAGGCCTCCTGGTAGTCTTCCCCAGATGTTTAAATCCCACCCCGGAAAGACAATTTGACATGTCAAAAGTCTTGGACTCCAACTCAGCAAGCCCAGCCTCAGTCCTCTGTACTGAGGGAAATACAGGGGTGTGTATGTATATCTATTTGGCTGTAAGGGTATTCACCAGGCCTATAGCAAGGGCAAACAGAAAACACCCTAAACAGCCAGCCCTAGGGGATTGGTTACATTAATTATGTTCTAGCCACACAGTGAATATTAAGGGACGACTTAAAAAGCATTTGTACAAGAATATTTAGGTGACTAATACATTTCTGGAACAAAAGTATGTACTATGAAGTTTGAAGTACTATATAAAATATGATCCCACTTATATTTTTAAAACCCCAGTGAATTTAAGTATCTTTTTTTTTTAAATGTCTATGCAACGTAATTTCTAACGTGAAAGGAGTATTATTTAGCTATAAGCAAGCATTGAACTAACTCAAGTAACATCAAAGGCTTGTCTGTTAGTTATTTCCTACTCCAGGTTAAGTTTTTAAAAGCTGCCTTTGAACTGGTTTTAGGACAAGGAAGAATATGATCCCAAACATAAAGCTCTCTTGGACCTGAATGAATTCCTCAAGTGGTTACAGCAGAGTCAATCTTTCAAGTTTTGAGGCCACATGGTCTCGGCCAACTCTGCAGACCTAAACAGGTGGTGGGCCATAGTTGCTGGCAGAGACCTCCCAAGGACCACAGTCAATATGTGTAATCAGAAAGTCACTGTGACAGAGAAAGGTGCCACCCACCCCTCAAGCCCTACACGTCAGATCAGGTCAGTGTGTCCCCAGTGGGGCGAAGCCTGCAGACCACCCTGCGCCCTGGTTCCCTTCCCATGCTCCCTGTTTTCTACTCTTAATAATGAAGGAATGCTCCCAACATCTGGGTGCATCAGAAGCAAATGCAGGAGCAACTAAGCAGCAGCTACAGCTAACACCACTGCAGAACACAGGCGCAATTCTGGGAGGCAACATTCTTCTCCTCAGAAGGGTGCAACACAGCAATCATTAGGCCTGGCCTAGCTAGAGAGCAAGGTGACCTCCACAGGGTGAAAGCTGGGTACTAGGAATCTGATGTCCCGGTCACATATGCACAGGCAAACAAATGGCCAGAAGCCACCAAGGCAGTCCAGGGGTCAAGCTGCTCCAGCCTTTCCCCTGGCCGGGATGGCAGGAGAAACCATGGGGGCTGTCGTGAAAAGTCTGCTAGCCAGAGAGAGCTCATGCTGGCCCAGTCCAGGAAATTCAATACTGGATGGTAAGGGGGTAGGGGCAGGGGCCACAAACTATGTAATTCACAAAGTTCCTGGAATCCAGGAAGTTCGAAACAAAGAAAAATGCTAACAAGCATCTCTTGTCACCTACCATATGCATCATCATCTGGACAGCAATTTGAGAATACTGGTTGATATAGTTCTTGCACTAGGAAAAGAGAAACAGACCATGAATGACACTGATTACTGCAGAAACACCAGCATTTCCAAAAATGTCAACAGTGATCATCTAGTTTCCAAGAGAAGAGTCTTCTAAGTGTCTTCTCAGAGCAAGTTTTTAATAAGATTTAAAAAGGCGATTTGGTTATTTTATACCATACAGGAAAACTTATATGCAGAAAGCAATATCTGACCCCCCCCCCCAAAAAAAAAAGATATTTTCCAAAGGTCCTGAAAGATGACATCCTTCTATCTCCTCTGATGGCAAACTAGAGTGACTACAAGACACACTCCCCAGGAAACCAAAATTACTTTCATGAAATACAAACTTGGTTTTACAAATCAACCTCATGAATGTGGCTAATGTGAATAGGGCCAAGAAATGAAACTCCTAAGGGGTTAACAAAATGAGTTTTTGAGCCTGCAGATCTAACATTCACCAAGGCACAGAAAGGAGATTCCCAGGTGAATCTCCTGCAAGCCAGTTTGAGTGGTTTCCCATGCATGACCTCTGACTTACATTATGAATATGCAACAGCCAGGCTTTCAAAAACAGGGTGTTTCTTATAAACATGGTAACTGGGAGGGGAAAAGCCTTCACAAAAGTAGTCTCCTTTCACAACCTCACCCAAAGAGTTGTTTTTGTTTAAGATTTATTTATGTATATAAGAACTGGGGTGCAGGCCAGAGATGCAAGGGTAAGAGAATTCACCAGAGACAAAGTGGGGGATCAGAACAGGCAGATCTATTGAAATAAACTACTGAGGGGAGCAGTGGGTGAGACAGGAGAGGTCTGCTGTGCCTTGGGGATCACCTCCCTGGCCAGGATTGAATTCATGTCACAGTGGCTAGCGACAGCTTGACAATAGTGAGACTTTTACCCCTGTGCCACAGGGAGGCCCTTGCCCAAAGAGTTTTATAGCATATTTGAATTCACTTCACCAAGAAAATATTAAGTACCCACCACCTAATCTCAGCTGCCTTCTGGAAAAAGAGTTAAACCATACCTTCTTCAAAGCACTTAGACTGAACTTAAAATGCTTCCCCAACTCCTGTCTACCCTGTCCAGTTCCCTGGCTCAGAACATCCTTCAGTGCATATGATAAGGCTCACCATGTCAGCCATGCCAGGCCCCAAGTGGTCACACTGCTCCTTGACATGCTCCACAAAGGCCTCAACAAAGGTGGAGTTGGTCCTCACAGCATTCTGGATGTCGGTCACCATCTGAACGCAGTCCTGGCAAACATCCGCACCAACCTGCAGCGACAGAACAATGGGGCTGTGACCACTGTGCTCCCACAGTACCTGAGGCGTTCTCTGCAGCACTATCTTCATGCTCACAGCTACAGCGGTCACACCTTACTCAACAGTTCCTAATGAATTTTTATGGACTCTTAATAACGCATTTCAAATCAAATGGTCATTTATTTTAGTAAAAATTAATAGGAAGTGGGAGGGGTAGAGGAGGAGATTTTTGCTTAAATATCTCAGATTCTCCAGATCTTCCATGCAACCACCACTTAAAGGCTGGCTGGCTCGTGTGACTGCTGAGTCAACTAAAGTTGACACCCACAGTTCCAGGACCCCTCGTACACACTGCCCCTTCCATATATCATCTCTAATGCACATGGGGCCCCTCAGTGGGCAGGCCCACTGCCTTACCTTGTGTTGGGGCTTGCTGTGGGGTTCATTCTGGGGGTAGAGGAGGAGGGGGATGTTGGCAATGAAGGGAGGTAGCATCTCAGGTATGTTCATTTCCTGGATCTTATTGGACTCGAGCTGTTTCTGGTGATTGAGCTCTGCCAGGTGCTTCTGAAGAGACTCGCAGAGACTGAGGGCGCTGCAAACCTCCTCCGGACGGCTCTGGTGGGGAACATACCCAGCTGGAACCGGGGAGCCCTCTCCCCCCAAGGAAGACAAAGCAGGCCACTCGGTGCCTCTGAAGCAGGCCCTTTCCTTGACTCTGACTCTGGGCATGGCGCGTGCCCACCTGACAGACGCTGCAGGCTGAAACACTCAACTTGCTCTCGCATCTCCATTTTGTCCAGTGGCTCCAGCTATCCTAGGAGTTTGGGCCAGAAACCCAGAAGCAATGTCCTCTGCACCAACAAGTTCATTCCCTTCATCCGCTGCCAGAGCTCCCCCCACCCACCCACCACCACCAGTCCCAATCCCTGAATAAGGCAGGTACTATCACCATGTCACCCCTCGGCCTGAAATCCTCCAGTGCCTCCTGCTGTGCCTGCCATTCTGGCGCCTCAAAGGCCCTGCACGATGTCACCCTGCCTTCCTCACCAGAACCTTGGTCCTGCTCTTGGGACCCCTGCCCCAGGGTTCCTTCTCACTTGTTTTTTTTTAAGCTGTTCTTCTTCCTCAGGATCTTTTCCAAATTCCACAAAGTTGACCCCCTACGGCCCTCCCCTGGGTCCCAGGAGCGCGCTGAAGGAAGAGCCTGCTTCCCATCGTGTACCATTTCTCCTTTAATCATGTCCAAGATGACTGGGAGGTAGGCGTCCACGATCTCCTTGCACTTGGCAGACAGCTCTGGCTTAGAAAGCCAGTCACAGGTCTTCTCCAAGTTCATGAGGATCTCTTGCTAGAGAGGACAGAGGCAAAGTTCAGATCAAGATGAACAACTTCTTCCCACAATGGCTGAAAAGGAAGAGACCCCCTACCCTGCCCAGAAAACTGAAGGTTGGAAAACAGCAGCCCTCAGGGGGGACATTGCCAGTGGGCTAGTGGGGAGCCATGGCTACCGGGCCCAGGGCAAAAAGTAGGCACAAGTTTTACTCAAAATGAAGAGCCTTTCACATGCAGTGTCATCGGCCCAGAGAATTCCAAGCAGAGATGAGCAAAACAAACCTAGAATTCACAGCATGCAAAAGAAAATCCCAGTCAACTCTAGGCATGTAACACACAGTCCTGAGGTCTGCAAGCCAGAACCCACAGCCTGTGGCTAAGATTGGCTTTTACAGGTTTTTTAAGATTTTACTTATTAATTTTTGTGTCGAACTGGGATGCAGGCCAGAGGCATGGGGGGGGGGGCAGGAGTTACCAGAGACAGACTGAGAGCATAATAGGCAGATCTACTGAAATACAATGAGGGGAGCAGCAGACAAGACAGGAGAGGTCTGCTGCACCACGTGGGAAGTTCCCTAGCTGGGTCAAACTCAGGCCTTGGCGGTGGTACTTCATGGTGGCAGTGCTGAGCCCCAACCCCTAGGCTACCATGGAGGCCCTAAGAATGGCCTTTACATTTTTAGAGGATGGAGGTGGGAGGGCAAGGACTGACTGAAAACAGCATGCTAACCAGAAGGCCTAAATGATTTCTGATGTGGGTTCAGACCATTCCTCATGGAACCCACCACCCCAAGTGACAGCTCTTTAAGGAAGGGCGTGGCCACGCACACCTGTAACAGCTCACCTCAGTATCATTGTTCTTCAGCAAGTCTGCTGCTTCAGTGATGACTCGTTTGCATATGTCACAGGGAAGAGATTTCTGAGAGGAAAGAGCACAAGGGAGAGAGATCCATATTTGCATGGCATAACGCACTGCGCAAAACAGAAAACCCTGTGGCCTTTCCACTACTTTGTCTTAACCAGACAAATGGACCCCAGCCCATGAGAGCAAAGGAAAAGAGCAGGTGTGCAGAACCAGAAGGTCCCACTTCCCTCAGGTCACCGTGAGGAGCAAACAAACGAGTGAAGAGAAAGTGCTCTGGAACTGGAGCAGTGTGGACCGAGGCGCCGGGCAGCACTAGGGCACTCACCACCACGGGCTTGCTCCAGACCATCTGCAGGCAGTGCTTCACGGCCCCACAGTCAGCCGCTGCCTGCACATCCCGGCACCACACCGCGGAGCCTCCGGAGCATTGTTTCAGACTGTGAACAGGGCCGCCTACAGCTACGAAGAAGACCAGTGTGAGCAGCCCCTTTCCCAGCACACCAGGTCCCCCTCACTAATACCTGGAGCCAAGGGCCAGTCCGGGCATCTTCAATGGACTGGCTACCTTGTCCCTCCTGCAGCTGTACAAAAACAAACCACAGCGGGCCTGGTCCAGAGCTGCCCTGACATCTAAGTCACGAGCTACGGGGACTAATGCACCAAGCGCACTTGTTATCTCATTCCTTTTAAACTATAGCAGGCATATGTTTTTTTAATCTTTACAACCTGAAAAAACTTCCACAAAGTGATGAAATAAGTCAGAGGAAATACAACTGACAGATTTACATACAGGAAATTTTAACATATGGAGAATGACAGTTTTTCTTTAATCTGAAGGTTAAAAACCAACATTCATCCTTTTACAACATAGATTAATGATTCTTAATATTCAAATGGAAAGCCCTTTTATAAAAAAAAAAAATCTGTGTTGAGTTTTGTCACATAGACTAGGCTACCAGCAAACGCAGGACCACACCATCCGCTCTGCCGGCACAGGAGCGTGCCCAGGCAGAGCCAGACGGGCAGCACTTCACCTCTGTGCGAGTGCAGAGACGGTCTGGGCAGACACACAGAAATGGGCCTGGGAGGAGCGAGCCAAAGGCTGACTGCTGTGGGACAAGAGAAAGGCAGGACGTTGCCTTATTTTGATATGTAAGTGAACCAAGGACAAAAAACATGAACCTTAACATCCAGTAGTGACAGGGTTGTATTAATAGTTAAATATAAGTAGTTCAGACGCATTTTTACAAGGCTAACAGCAAAGTGAGTGAGAAAATTACCCAAAACAAATGGTATAAATAAAAAAATCCCCTTTCAGGAAGTAAATCCACTTCTAGAAAGCCAGTCTACAGAAATGCAGCAATTTAAGAGAAAATATGATATGCACCATATACAGACTTTTTAATACTAAAAAATAGGTATAAACTGAGCCATCGAATATATATAGAAAAGCCAGTGATATTTTAACAAAACTATTCTGCAGCTTTGAAATTTACCATAAAGATGATATATATCAAATAAAAATTCAAGACTACTATATTGCACAAGGTTAATATAATTTTTTTCAAAAAAATAAAGTACAGTGGTTCACTAATTTGTATTTTTTCATGCCCAGTATGTTTTGTGTGTATAACTTAAGTCTACATCTCTTGAAACAGCTCTATGGTTTCCTTGATTTGGGAACTATAAAATGGGGGTAAAACCTTCAGCTTCAAACCTCACCTTTAACCCAATGATTCTATTAGGAAACAACAAATTATGCCAGATTACCCAAGGGTGACTCCAGCAGATACAACAGTGGGGCTGAACCAACTCCACTGTGAATAGGTAACGTCTGCCCAGGTCTGAGATTAGGCAGCCCCACAGAGATCTAAGAAATGACATGCTGCATGTTACTTAAACTTGTAAATCAAAGAAAATATCAATAGTAAACCCAGAGACAACGCACAGCGCAACACTTCAGACAAGTCATGCACACAGACCGTAGTGGCCCACACGGGAAGCATACAGTGTGTGGCACGTGCAGATCACAGGCGGTGTAGTTCCACAAACTGTTCACACAGGCAAAAAGCCCAATCAAAAGACCTGCCCCTTCCAGACACTAGCAGATACATTACTAAGCTGCTGCTTATATCCCAGCCTTCTCTGTCCCTTGCGAGAGAACATCACAACTATAACCAGTTCACAAACCAAACTAAACAATCCACATTTCAAAAACTTGGTTTCGATGGATTGTGGTTTCCACAGGAAACCAAGCTTACGATTCAAAACAACCTACATTCCCCAGGTGGCTCATACAAGTTTCATTAACCCATAAAGTAGCCAAGCGAGGCTCCCACCAGCCCTCATCTATAGGTCTGGGGAAGTGGAGGGGGCAAAAAGGGTTCAGGGAAGTGTAGAGGGTTACAGACCTCACAGCTTCCACCAGCACTCCTATGTTCCTCCAGGGCACTGGGCACCCACCACCCTAACCTGCTTGGTTCTACCTGCAAGTCGAGAGCCAGAAATGAAGAAGCTATAAAATGAGTCTTAGGCAAAGGGAAGCCAGCAAGAGAGTGGACATTAGCGGACCGGAGTCAGCATTCAGAGAAAAGCAGGGCCAGTAAACAATCCTCTCCATGCAAGGACTGACCATTCTTAAAATAATCGTGTAGAATTTCTATGCAGGGAACTTCTCCCACTATCTCTGCCAAGAGCTAACTACAACAAGCTGAGTCTATCAGGCTTCATCTGCGTCAACACAGGACCAAGAGCAAGAGTATTTTGTAACTTGTGTACTTCTGATGGGAAGTTGAAACTGATCCCTTGCAATAATGTCTCCTTTGGCCAGGCTACTGTGAACTAAAAATAATCTTGGGTAGCCCTTGTATCTGAGATTGCTAACACAAACCCAAGGTCAGCTCCCAACCCCAATATACTGCTCATCAATAGCCTAATAAATGGTAGCAACCCCCCACCTCAGAACAAGAGGCAAAAAGCCAAGTTTGGTGGACAATCAATGTCATTATTAAGTCACCAAAGTTCAGCCTAACAGATCTGTAACAAGGTGATCCCCAGGAAAAGGGGAGGTTCTAGGGTCCCTGCCATACCCAAGGGAGGTAGAGCTGAGCAGGGAGGAGAGGAATCCAAAGACCGAAGAAGGAAGCAGAATGAAAAGCCAGAAGACCTGAGGGACACACACTGGGCAGAGACATGTGAACTTCTTCGAAGCGGCTCCTGTTTCTAGCCCTGGACTGAGTGAAACAGATGTGGATGAGAGACCCATGGGGAGGCTAACAAGGGCAGATTTCATCTTGATGTTGATTTTGCTCTTTTCCTCTCAGACTTGTCTGGCCTTCTGACCCTTTAATGTGGTACTTTAGCCTTGTGGCGGGCTTTCAGGCCTTGCTTTGGGCCAATCCCTTTTGGATGGACTTTTACCCACGAGGGGATGGGTGACTTTGGGTGTTTGATTTAGAAACTATATTGTCTTTTCTGTATCGCACACTAATTGTATTAAAGTTCATTCCCATTAAAGGTCTTGTATGTTTTTATTGTCTTGATGCGGCGGATGGCAGAATCTACTTAGAGCAGGCAGGTTTGGGGGTTCAGGGGTGCCTCTCTCCCTGCCCTGTAACAGATTTAAAGGACACTGAGAGAACACTGAAGTCAGCTTCTAGGAATCCAATTCTTAGTAAGACCTCCCCTACTACCTCCAATCTAAACTAAAAATGTATAAAGGCACGTATTATAAATAAAGCCAGCCTGCGTACGTACACACTGCTATTACCTAAGATAAGCCAATTTCTATTAACAGAAACAACTGCATGTCTCGGGGATCACTAAGTCGAGGTTGAAACACAAGCCTGAATGATGCCAATGGGCTAGCTGCTGAGAAGCTCCAGTGATTACTTCAGAACTCACCGCCTCGGGAGGGTAGAATGTGTTTGGGAAATCCTCTATTTGGGAGGTTCTCGGGCACCACAACACCTGCACAGGGACCTGAGCTGTGGGTTTAATGACACAAAGGGAAGGGTTGCCTTCTCACGAGTGGGAAAACTGGGATGAAAGCACCACTACCCACTCCACCCGGCCAAGCACAGTGCCCCCAGGCAGGACACCCACGAGGCAGACATGAGAACTCTGACCCACAGCTGGAGGGCCAGACCCGAGTAACGGGGATGTGTCCACAGACATTTTAGAAAACCACACGACCAATACAGCAAAGACCATGACAAACCACCTGATGGAGCTAGAGATGCATTCTTGAAAATTAAATTTGAACTGGCCCTTGACTGGCTAAGTACAGAGGTTTGAGGTTTGAATTCCTGAACATCCAAAGAGCAGTTTTCTTTGTCAAAGGGGCAAAACCCCCTTTGCTTTTTCAGCAGCAGTGCACAAAAGGGAGTGGGAAGTGACAGGCTGCAAACCTCCGGCATCTGGAAACCTCACCTGCCACACTCGCTGTTCCAGTGGGGTTCTGCCCGTGTGCGGGACCAGTATAGCAACCCAGGCATGATGAGCCAAAGGAGTAGAAGGGAAGCAGGAGAGGCACCAGGCACCTACACTGGGAAGTTCACTCCCCAAAAGGCCATACAAGAAATGGTGGCAGCACCGGATAAGAAAGGGGCTACAACAAAGATTCCAAATAACTGCATAGCTAGGAAAATGAAACTCACGAGTTACATTTAAAGGTGAAGTCTTTCAGGCTATAAGAAAACAAAACAACAAGAACCAGCAGCACAGCCAGCCTGGCGGTCAGAGCCAACTGCCTGAGCCGGCGTGAAGCGAGGGAGTGGACTGCGGGCACAGGCCACAGGAAACCACACACCTGTGCACGTAACTGCCCAGGACGCGTCACGCAGAGGGGAACAGAGCTGGCCAGACAGCTGAGGGCACAGGGCCATTCTGAGTCCCACAAAGACCAGCGAGTTCAGCTGGGAGAGAGAATGATTTCCCAAGTGGAGGACACCTCCACCTGGCGCCCCAGAACTAGGGGTGGAGGGGAGGGAAGCTGGCCATAGCTCCGGAACAGGAGTACATTTAACATCCAAGGGTCAGAAAAAACAGAGTGACCTCCCAAGCAAAATCAAAATGTCCAGCCTAAAAGGAATTCTGTGTGAGGAGGATCCCAGCAAACACCATTTTTAGTATTTACTTATAATCAACATATAAAAATTACCTAAACCACTTTCTAATGAGTTATTTCTTAAAACTTGTTCCCAGCAAAGCTTTCATCTCTATTCTCATCCTCCCACAAACTCCCCAAATACCAACTTCCTTCTCTGAGGCAATAAACTGAACTCTAAGAAAGTTCTTAGAACGTTTGCCTAACCACCTGGAGAGCTCTGATTAAATCTGTCATGTTAAGAAATTAATCAGTCAACTCCAGTATTATACTTCTTAGTTCAAGGGCCTGGCATTTGCACCCACAAAGACAAAATGCTACTAAGGCTAAAAATTAGAGCAATTCTCACATA